GGTTTATGGCTAATCCGGGTAAAGCTCACTGGGGAGCTGTAAAGTGGATCTTGCGATATTTGAAAGGAGCGTCTGATATTTGTCTGGTATATGATGATAAAGGCCATGGTGATGGTCTTGTTGGCTATGCAGACTCTGATTACGGGGGTGACTTAGTGAAACGAAGATCACTAACTTGTTTTATCTTCACTCTGTTTGGATGTGCAGTCAGTTGGAAGTCTACTTTACAACCTACGGTTGCATTGTCGACGACTGAGGCGGAATACATGTCAATGACTGAAGGTATTAAGGAGGGTATCTGGTTATATGGTCTGGTACAGAGTTTGGGTCTGAAGGTGGAAAAACCGGTGTTATTCTGTGATAGTCAAAGTGCTTTGAGTTTGGCTAAAAATCCAGTGTATCATGAGAGAACCAAACATATTGATGTAAGGTTGAATTTTATCCGTGATGTTCTGGAGGAAGACAAGTTTTCTATTCAGAAAATAGCTACAGAACACAATCCAGCTGATATGTTGACAAAGGCGCTACCGACGGAGAAGTTTGAGCACTGCTTGAACTTGGTGAATATTCGTAGGAGGTAAAGCCCTCTCGGGGCATCTGGCAGGAAGGAGACGACTGAGAGATACTGACGAACATTTGGCGGTTGGAGAAACTCCAAGTCAAGGTGGAGATTGTTGAAACGTGACTTGGATTTAGCGGTCTACCCGACCCTAAACCAAAGCGAAAGGGCTGTTTCAATTGGCAGGGTTCCTTTTGGGCTTATCCTAATTAATAACAAATAGGCTTAGGGTTTAGGGTGTTTTGGGGTACTTATAAATAGACAACTATGGTTCTTAGTCGGATGACACATTGTAAATCTCTGAATCAGTATAATAAAATCTCTCCGGTTCCTGCCCGTGGATGTAGGTTGACACACCGTCACCGAACCACGTAAAACCTCTGTGTTCTTTATTTGCTTTCTTTCTCGTTTTCTCATAACATCATGTGGTATGTTGGAACTGCAAGGGGCACTTGAAACGACAGTGCAGGGCGCTGGAGAAGGATAAGGGTTCGGAAAACGCAGCGGAGAAGATATCCAATGCGCTGATTCTGAGCGACAGTAGTCCAATAGAGTCATGGATTTTGGTCTCATTAGCGTCATTTCACTCATGCAGTGATTCGGGAATCATGGAATCCTATACCGCATGTAATTTTGGTGATGTTTATCTTGCAGATGATGAGACACTGAAAATTGTAGGTAAAGAGATAGTTTGAATCAGAACACCAAATAGTGGGGAGTGGAGACTGAATAACGTGAGGCATGTCCCGGGTCTGAAACGGAATCTGATTTCCGTGGGACAATTGGATGAGGTAGGTTACTCGACAATTTTTTAAACTAAGTCGTGGAAGGTAACCCAAAGATCCATTGTCGCGGCCCAATGAAGAAGAGATAGAACTCTCTATATGATGAAAAGCATGCAAGACGGAATCAGTTATGTGGCCATAAATGACGACACAAATTTATGGCATTCTCGTCTCGGACATATGAGCGAGAATGGGATAAGGGAGCTCGTTTCAAAGGGAAGATTGTCAGGTGTTAAGTCCGTCGATATTGAAGTATGCGAGGACTGTATATTTGGGAAGCAGCGAAAGGTGACGTTCTCAAAAGGTGGGGGAGACCTGAAAAAGGAAAAATTGGAATTGGTCAAAACGGACTTGTGGGGACCAACTCCTGTATCGACCCTTGGAGGCTCATAGTACTACACCGCGTTCATTGGCAACACTACAATGGAGGTATAAGTATATTTCCTTAAGCGTGCTTTTGATATCTTTGGGAGGTGAAAAACGCGTGCAGTGGGTGTAATGAGCTGATTTATGAGCAATCTTGAAAGACAATCTAAGGTGGTGACTTTAGATGAATTGAAGTTGTGTTCAACCTTAATTGGCTTCGATGAGTGAAGAGGGAGGCTTTGTGTTGTCATTACCGATGAAGTATAATGTTAAAGTGAAAGATGCAATCAGTCTTCAAGTGAGAGATTGTTGATATATGAAACCTAATTAAATCATTAAATTTAGGGATATGATTTTGATATATTGACATAGACTTAGCCTATAAATATCAATGTATTCTCAATTTAACATGCGCCTACATACTTTATAGTAAAAGTTCTAGCTTGGTAGCGACCCCAGACGTCAATCATTTTGATTGAACTGGGTTATCAAAATTCTTGTGTTCTTGTGTAATTGTTTATCTCTTCTTGATTTTCTGAAATTTTTGTAATAGTATTTTAAATCAAATTATTTACTATTCAATAAAAAATATATATATTTTTTATAAAAGTTACCATCAAAATGTCATTTTAAAGAAAATTTTAAATCAAAAGTTTGTTTAATAATGGATTGAGTGATTTAAATTTATGTGATAATAATTTGATATACTAATATTTTATGAGATAAAATATAATTTTTTTAAATGATAATTATCTGTAATTTTTTTTTTTTAGAAAAACCAAAACACTAAACCCACATCACATAATATACTGATTGTATTGTATATTGATTGATTTATTTATTTTTATTGAATAATTATCTATATACTTCCTCCGTCCAAGCAAAAATTATACATTTATTTTTAGCACGGAGTTTAAGAAATAATAGTATTTTAATTATAGTTAATAGATAAAAGTAGTGTAATGACATTTTTGCTTTTATTTTTTTGGTATAAAATAGTATTTTAATGATAGTGAATAGATAAAAGTAGTGTAACGATATTTTTGCCCTTATTTTTTTGGTATAAAATTAATGATGTGAGGTAAAGTAGAATTATTTTTGAAAAAAATGAGATATTTAATGAAATGATTAATTTGTAATTTAACGTCCCAAAATAGAAATATGTATACTTTCTATCCGAACGAAATGAGTATTTTTTTCTATTATTTAATACGTTGTCTGTAAATGCAAGCTATCAAAATCTAAAATATTACTGTAATATATTGTTGCGGGAAGAAATCATTTATATCTATAATATAGTATATATATTTATTGTTACATTGACCTTAATCATGCAATATTTAAATTCTGAATTTAAATAACCCACACTTCTTTTCCATTATACAGACATATTTGTTTATTTATTCATTTATCGTGTGACTTAATAATTAATGTTCTTACCAATATGATATTAATTTATTTTCATTATTATATTAAAGTAGTTTGTGTCTTCAAAGAAACAAGTGTTTGATATTTTATATTCTTTATAGTACTCTATATAAACTGCCGTGTAACACGTGCAATATTATTATTGCTCCTTCGTTTCAATACAATAGTCTTATTTATCATTTTTGTTTGTTTTAAAATAATAGTCTTATTTTTATAAATAATTATATCATCATAAAACTATTCTTACTTTTTCATTTTTATTACAAATTGCTACTATTTTTTACACTAATACACTCATAAGAAGGGCAAAAAAATCTTTTATCCATATTTTTTACCGGCTATCAATATAATATCAATATTTTTTAAATTTCATGTTCAACCCAATTAAAACTATATTTATGGGATCGGAGGGAGTATTATTTTTTATAAATTATATTTATAGTTTATTACATGTGATATGATATACTCTCTCCGTATCTTTGTCTGTTCCACAAAAGATAATTTTTTTATTTTTAGTAAATTTATTCTTCTTAAACATACTTAACAACGAATATAAATTAATTAAATTAAATTTTTAACTTCTTACGAAGACGTATTCAAAACCCTTTTATTTCTATCTCTCTTTAATAAACAAATATTTTTTTATCTATATTTAAAATTTCTCATTTTCTTATAAATTTAATTTTAAGTTAATTATAAATAAATAACTATATTTTTTATTTATATTACATAAAAAATGATAGTTATATATATTTTTATATTGAGATATAACTCTAAAAATATTTAAAATACAAACAACATTACTATTTTAAAGAATAATAAAATAATATCATAACTTACTATTAATTATTTATTAATCTACACTACCTAAAATATCGTGTCCTAACAAAAGTGCTCATATCTGGCGGGACGGATGGAGTATGATTATAGCAACAAACTTAATTCTATTCAAAATAATTCGTTTTTTTTTAATTAATTTTACAAATGATCTAAATTTCATACTTAAAAACAAAATTAAAAAATTGTGGTTGCTGATATTGAAATCCCTTATCAATTATGTGATATAAATAATCGTCTCACCTAAAAATTTAAACAGTTATGATATATATTATTTAGTTATTTATCTACAAATCAAGTCAACCAACAAAATGTACTGTTTTTGTTATTTTATCAATCAATCGATCAATCAAATATTTTATTTTATTTTATAATTTTTAAAAGTATTTACTATTTGAATTGTATGTTATTTAAAAATAGAAATTAATAGTTTTTGATAAAAATAGTACAATTGATATTTTTAAAAAAATTTTAATATAAATACCATCGATTGTTATTAAGTAATGAAATAATAATAAAAATAAAAATATAGTTTTATAGTGATTTTTGTGAAAAAAATAATATAATTTTATCGAAAATACAGGCCGAAAAAAATATTGATTTTGATTTAAAATAATAAAAGAAAAGTCAAACTACAAATGAGTTACAAATAATTTTGGATATTATATATTTTACTTTTTAATACAAAACATAATTAATAAATCAAAATACATATACAATAAAAAGTTTCATTATAATTGGGCTTTGGGCCGAAGCCCAATAGAGGAATTAGTTGGCCCATTTGAGTATTTTTAAAAAAGAATAATTTATTGAGTTTTAAAGGAAGGATATTTTAGACATTTCACAGACAGTAGAGTTTGGCATAGCCCACCAACCGGAGGATGGGCCCCACAAGGGCACGCACTGTTGGCGGTGGTAATTGATCGGGAGTCGAGCTCCCGGGACCTTGTGAGGCTAGACAGTTAAAGGTGCTGGGATTAGTTGCAAATGCATATCATAATAGTGACGCTTAGCCATTCAAACTGTAAGCGATAATCACCATTAGCACAGAATCATTGTTGATGGCGACCTTCATCATTATCAATTCTCGAGCACGAACTCTGCCCCAGGAATCGCCAATCCAAGCAGGAGGAACTAAGGAATATTTATTGCGGAATTTGTCTGGAAGTGTCGGGTGTCACTGTTTTGTCGATTTTTGTTAATGAATTATCTGAGGGGTTATTCTCCGTGTTTTAGGTTGAAGCTTACGGTTTCCGAGCACTGAGAGGAGCCTCCGATTTGGGTGAGTTTTGGATGTGCAGTTAAGAGATTGAAGTGTGTGATTTGAGGTTTATTTGCTAGATTTTTTCTGTTTTTGGTGATGAAATTGCGGTTTTTTCGAAGAATGTTCTGTGAATTTCGTTTTCTTTTACTGCTAGTTTGAATTGATGCAGGCAATTGATTTCTTCTGTTGTTAGAAGCAGATTGAAGCACTAGGGTTTCAGTGAAGGTGATAGCTGATCGATTCCTGTAAGTTTCAATTTTAAAGTATGGTTAAATTTTATGGAGAGATTTGTTTTTCATCATGTAGAAGCCATCTGAAGATTCTGAACTGCTCTAGCTGAACGTTAGGATTTTTTTTTTTTTGGTGTGCACAGTTGAATTTTGGTGTAGATTTCTAGTAAGTAAATTTGAAATTCTTGACATTAAAGTAGGTAATTTGGTGTTCTGGAGGAATTTACGAAGGTGGATTGATCTTGAGCATTGCAAGATGTCATCCAGATCTTCATCCCGAATTTCTCCTGCAGTTGGTACTCCACTATCTGCCTTCAGCTCTCAGCCATCTTCTTCACCTCCTAATTTACCAAACTCTTCGTCGTCTGCACCGCCGCCACAGCTTAATCCACCACTAAAATCTCCTAGTGCACCTGCACCTCAGTTCAATACATCTCTAGCAGACCCTCCTAGCTCACCTTTACCCAACTTGAATTCTTCTCCAACTGTCTCGCCATTGCCGCAATCCCCTCCTTCGTCAAATGTGACACCACCTCCACCTCCATCCATGGCTTCTCCACCTACAGCCAGTCCACCACCTCCGCCTTCAACTCTACCTCCTCAACTGTCTAATCCTCCGCCAACATTGTCTCCGCCGCCACTGAATCCACCGACTACATTGCCACCACCCTCTCCACCATCTGAGCCTCCTAGTTCCCCACTTCCCAAGACACCTAATCCCCCTTCACCCCCATCGCCCGAAGTTCCTGAAAATCCACATCCACCACCTGTCAAACCACCAAATAATCACCCACCTCTACCAGCTAGAAAACCACCAGAACATTCACCTCCACAACTACAGCCTCCTACCGGTGGTTCGCCACCACAACCATCATCTCCACATGCACCAGCAAAACCACCCCAAAATTCACCACCACCAGCACCACTTGAGCCTCCCCATAATACCCCCACGCCGCCAGCTATATCTTCTTCTCCACATACTCCATTTTCAAATTATCCTCCAAGATCACCGCCTTCTCCCTCTGGCTCACTGACATCATCACCCGCAGCGCCGCCAGCAAATACTAGCAAAAATATTTCCACTAGCAATTCTCCGAAAGGATCACAATCCACAAGTGATGGTGGCGTAACCGGAGGTACTGTGGCAGTTGTTCTGGTTCTTACTCTGCTGTTGTTTGGAATATTTGGAAGTGCCGCTTGTTTTGTGTGGAAGCGGAAGAAAAGGGCTCATCAACGCACTGGTAGCTACCTTATGCCTATCTCTATTGGTTCTACTCTTGAATCAGGTAAGCATTGTAGTATGTGGATTAGAAACTTTATTTTATTTATTTTTTTTGGCATGTATGCGTACCTTATATTAAATGTGGAAGGAAATTCAATAATTAACAGAGTTTGTATGCAGATAAGAGCTTTCAAAAAGAGCAAATATCAGCACCCAACAGTGGAAGTGGCGCTGGCGGTGGTACTTCTAACTCACCTCACAAATCTGGTGGTTTGAACAATTCAAGGTCATGGTTCACCTATAAGGAATTACTTGATGCCACAAATGAATTTTCAGTCGAGAATCTCTTAGGGGAAGGTGGGTTTGGTTCTGTATACAAAGGAACTCTTGTGGACGGTAGAGTGGTGGCAGTTAAGCAACTAAAGATTGGTGGGCGGCAGGGGGAGCGAGAATTTAAAGCTGAAGTCGAGATAATAAGCCGTATACACCATCGTCATTTGGTTTCACTTGTGGGTTATTGCATTTTTAATGACAGTAGGCTGCTTGTTTATGATTATCTCCCTAACAACACCCTGTACTTCCATCTTCATGGTAAGAATTGCATTTGATATCATAAGATGAGTTTTTTACAAGATATTGGTCATATATTGCCTCTTTGCTTCTCAGGTGAAGGTAGGCCTGTCATGGATTGGGATACACGTGTAAAGATTGCTGTTGGTGCAGCTCGTGGAATAGCCTACCTTCATGAAGACTGTAAAGCTCCTCTAAATTCCGCATATCTTACATATTTAATCATATAAAAAGTCATCCTCATTTTTTCATCCTTTGATCAATGAATAAAGCAACCTTTATTTCTTCCTTCCGTTGTGTCATGGAAAGTCTCTAATTTAAATTTGACCATCTTATAAATGTAATTCTATAATTTGTGATTGTAAGTATGGACCAAATACTTGATGGAGAGAGTTCTATTTTTCCTTATTTTATCGTATGTATTTTTAACTGATCACTTGTTTCTTGAGTTGTTTCAGGTCATCCCCGTATTATTCATAGGGATATCAAATCATCAAATATTCTTATAGATGACAATTTTGAAGCCCGGGTATTACTAATATCAAGCATGTTCTATTCCCCTCCCCACCCACACCCACAAACATTTAGGACTTATTTCTAAAACTACTTTTTCAGGTTTCTGACTTTGGACTCGCGAAATTAGCTCTAGATGCAAACACACATATCACTACACGTGTGATGGGAACCTTTGGGTAAGTGGTAACGCTGGCTGGTCTTTGGGTTCTCTGAAGCTAAATACAAGCTTTCAATACACTATTTATTTACTTTTATCGTCATTCTAAGATCTTGTATTTGTGTATTGTTTTCCTTAAGATACATGGCTCCCGAGTACGCCTCCAGTGGCAAGTTAACTGAAAAGTCTGATGTGTACTCCTTTGGAGTTGTGCTCTTGGAATTAATCACTGGTCGGAAGCCTGTAGATACATCTCAGCCACAAGGGGAAGAGAGCCTTGTTGAATGGGTAAAGCTCAAACTTATGGTAATTATCAAAATTGCATCATTCTTTTATCATGTACCTTATTATCTTTCTCAGGCACGACCCTTGTTGAGTCATGCGATTGAGACACAGGATTTCCACGAACTATCTGATCCGAGGCTCCAAGGAAGTTATCCTGATGCTGAGATGTTCCAACTGATTGAAGCTGCTGCGGCTTGTGTACGCCACTCAGCCATTAAGAGGCCAAAAATGGGGCAGGCAAGTTGTCACGCGAACTAAAACTTCTTCACATTTACTTTTACTTTAATGCTGATGGAGCGTCACCAATGATTTTATTCCTTTCAGGTTGTGAGAGCTTTCGACCAAATGGGTACCTCGGATTTGACAAATGGAATGAGACTGGGAGAAAGTGAAATGTTCAATGCCACTCAACGATCCGATGAATTTAGATGGTTTCGGAGGATGGCATTTGGTAGCCAAAATTACAGCACAAACTTTTTCCAGTCAAAATAGCTGGAATTGTGAAGCCATCTGGAGAAACAATCAGGACAGATTGATATGCTGACATCCAAACGGAAAAGAGGTAAATCAAGCTCTATCAAGTATTACCGACACTACTGTAATTTTACAACAAAATGGTGGTAGGAGAATCAAATCATTGGTGAACGAGATCAAGAGAAGTACTGTTTTTTCATTTCTTCAGGAACAGTTTTGTGCAGAACCAATCCCCTGCCCCTTAAGGGAATGATGCATCTGCAGGAGAAGCCCCTGGCACAAATGGCGTCGATGGAGATAATTTACTTCTAAATAAACAAAAGTAGCAGAGCCCTATCCCTACATTCGACAAGAGTTAACATAAACTGTAAGCTTCTGGCTTTCTATGGCTATTTATTCAGCCTATTTTCTAACAACTGGTTGTTATGTGCTCTTGAAAATTACTTTAATGTAATGCCCTGAACTTTCGGTCAAATTATTTGCTTCTGAGATCATTATGTCTGTAGCGGCACGTATTATTTATTATCTTACGAGTCTGATCTTTGTTTGAATGTTGCTTCTTTTCATAGAGAGGTTCATACTGAGGTAAATCAAGAAAGGGAAAAGGTGTACTAAAGCACAAATTGAAGAGCTCTACAACCGAAAGCAACATGAGAAATTAGAAGCTTCTAAAACAGACAAAACGTAAGGGGAAGGTGAATAATTTGCTCTAAGTTGTTGTTTGTGTAAATTTTTTTAGCTCCCAGATTTATATACATTCACTGATAAATATTTATTCGGTATTTTGTCATGCTGTTTAGCAATTGTTCAGTTGTTCTTTAGATTTATGTGTTTTTTTGTTTCGCTTTTGTTCTTGTCGCTATAGAATATTCTTCAAATTGAGTTTCTCTCATGATGTGGCATGTGCTTTGTGTTGCTTCTAGCGAGGATGTTTGACAATTCATTGTAATTTGATAATCCTTTAGGCGATATAAAGTACATATTTTGTATTTACATGTTTTAATCATTTTAGTTAGGGAGATATTGTTGCATTGGTATACTATTTTGTGATGATTGTAGTCGTCATTTTTAGTAGTTGTTTTAGAGATTTTATTCACAGTATGTTAAAAGTAGTATTGTGATAGATCAAATAATGATGTGACAACAATGTGATCACAATTACTTGCTACTGAAATTGTTTTATGTGATACATATATATATATCTATATATTTTTTCCTTTACGTGAAAAAGTATCTCGCTACATTACCAAATAATAATGTAATGTAAATAAATGTTGGATGTGATTTTTGTAGAAAATATGTTTTATGTAATATTTTAACTGAAAAATAGGTATTACATGAGTTTAAATGCTTGTATGATTTTTTAGGTCAATATATTCAGGCATTTCTTTTCCTGTAAATTAAAGCCTAACAACTAATTTTATATGCATTGCTTTAGGTTACATTTTAAGGAGTTATTTTCTGATGGGAAATCTTTGTATACTTGATTGGTTTCTCTATATGTCATTGTGTTTTTTTTTTTTTGTTAGTTGTATATCTCATGAAGCTAGGCTGCCTTGAATCACAATGACTTGCCATAATTAGTGAATCAAAATGTGCATTTTCCGAGGAAATCTATGTTGCTAAGCCAAGTTTTCTGAGGATCCTTTTTAGGTAGGATGGTTTCACAAGGTAGAGATCATAACCATGTTGCAAGAATCTGTTTTTATCATATTATTATTATTATTTTTACCAAGTGTAGGGTGCAAGGCATGAATGAGTCTAGGACAAACATCTTACATCCTTTTCCTTAAGAGAATAGTTCACCGGGATAGTTACGATGTTGATTAGTTCTAATCAGCATCGTCACGTAATAATAGTACACACAATGAATGGCTGGAATTAAAATGTGTTACACTCTTTGTTACTATGTGATTTAGGTTCATGTCATACATTTGTTCCATGTTAACATATAGTCCCTCTGTCCCACATGTATTGTATTATTATTATTATTATCTTTTTATTGTGGATTAAGTGAAAATAGTATTATATTGATGAGTGAATGTGTGTTAGACGGAAATTTTAAAAATATCATTGTAAAGTGTGAAATAAAAGTGAGGGTAAATTGATAATATAGTGAAGAATACATCAACTGTAAATGAAAATAAATTATTTAGATAGTCCGTAAGAAATGGCGTGATGATGTGGGGGTGGACTCGTGATCATCGGATAGTGGGTAAAGAAATCATGACTTATACCCGTACATATACATATATATATTTATATTTATATATATGAAATTTGATTTGGAGCACATGTCCCAAAATCCCATATTTTGAGGATGAAGTCATCGACTACGACTCATAACTAAATAGTGTTTATTTGCTTAACTTATGAAGCATGAATGATTATTCTCATTGCTTCACACATTATAATTCCTACCTTCTTCCTACATCACAAACTTCTTACACTTCCTTTTCTACACAAAAAAAAAAACATATGACTCTCTTTTATCCCCTTCTTCCTTCCCAATCTCTATATATTTTCTTTCTGTCCGTCGTCGCCGTCGTCGCTCTTTCCTTCCTGAGGAAATTCGAAATCGACATGTCCGAAGGAAACATGTTCGCCGCCGACTGCATTGTCCTATGCTGCTGCTGCCAATGTCTCATCCTCCAAATCCTCATCGTCCTAATCCTTAAACTCCCAAACAAGCTCGTGAAGAAGACGAAAGAATACGCCAAGAAATTCAAGGCCCGGAGGAGGAAGACGAAGACGACGAGGATAATGAATACGTCAGTTAAAAGTAGCGTAGAGATAATAAACAAAGAAGACGTGTACAGCCTTGGGAATTCCTTCGACTCGATCTCGATCTCGCTCGACTCCCTCCAGTTTGGCTCCATGGATGAAATTGTAAAAGTTCTCGAGGAACTCTCCGGGAGGGGCGAGTTCGCCTTCGGAAGCTTCTGGAACGGCGGCGACCTCTCCGCTTCGCAACGCCTTCGATCGTGCCCCGCCGAGATCGACTATGGCGACGTCGGGATTCGACTTATTGAGCTCTTTGGATCTGCTAGCTTCTCACTACCGAAAAATTGATTTTTTTTGTAGCGGTCAAAAATTCGTGAAAGAAACTCAATTTTCGTCCTTTGCATCGACTTTGTTACGGATTTTGACTGCTAAAAAAAAAAAAAAAAAAAAGATTTGTAAATAACACTCTTTTCCAGGTAGAAGGCACTTTGATCTTTCCTTTACTTGCACACATTGCTTCCATACGCCTAACACATAAAGATAGTATAACTTTTATTTTTTTTATTTTTTAGAAAAAAAAATCCACTATATAAACATATTTTACAAAATTATACTTCCTATCTAATTCAAATTTATTTAGTTTTATTATTTTCTAAATTTATTCTCCTTTTATATTTTAGTAAAAATAAATAAATAACTTTTCTACTTTCTCATTACTCTAAAAAATAAAATTTTATATTTTTATCTATTTTTCTTAGAATTTGTATTTGATCAAATGAACACACAATTGGATGATGGAGGAAGTACTATATACCAATATATTTTAACCATAGCCAAGAATTTCTTTTCTTCCATTGTTGTTCTGATTCGTTTCTCTTCTTTTCTTTTCTCTTCTATTTTCTTTGGATTTTGCGATCATTTGGAAGAACAGTTGCAACCCCACATAAGGTCGTAAACCGACGAAAATGTCGAAATCGGGACAATCTATCCACATTTCTTGTCTCTCTTTTCACCAACCACAATACTGATGGCTACAATGTGTTCTCATCACATAAAATAGTTCGAGTATGAATGTACTTGCAATAGTCTCGACATGGACCATGTTGTCCCGGCTCTGTCGAAAACGACTTGTCCCAATCAGCACGGGATAGCATAGCCTTCTCGTTCGGATACAAATACTATAAGCAATTTCATATCTAATACAAATCATGACGATATATATATATATATATTTTTTTTGTATCGAATTCAATTCGTACGAATTTTTTAATTTTTTCTTTTTAAGTAGTTTGAGAATATAATATGGGGTAAAATATATTTTATTTTTTTTGCATATTTGATCTTTAAGTAGTTTAAAGGGTGTGTTTGTTTGGGGGTTTAGATTTTGAGTTGAGATTTAAATAGTAAAAATTTTGAATTTGAATAGTTGTATGATGTGATATAAATAGGCGTTGATGTGATGTTTTGAATGTAAAATTGATTTTTAGGATAATATAAAAAATAAAAAATATGCGTTTCATTTGATATTTTTTGGGAAAAAGATGGGATGAATAGTGGAATTAAAATCCAATCTCCCAAACAAACACACCCTAAATAGATTAAGTAAAATTTTTTTTGTTAAAATGGTCATCTGATATTTGATTTACCACACTGATCCGCCATTGTTGACATAACGCTGACACGGTTGACGAGACATTGCCACGTTAGTGACACACCGAGAAACATTTTAGCTAAAATTTTAAAAATAATAAGATTTGAAAGTATTAAAATAATTTTCTTTATATATATATAATAGAGAATAGAAATAATTATTTGTGAATAGTTTTTTGATGGGCCCTGACAGCAAAAAATCCAAAATGAACCTCTTGGAGATGTTTTTTGAGCCCGACAACGAAATCCAACATTACTACTTTTACTATCTATCATATTTCTTATCCCCTTATCGTAACCTCTCAAAATAATTTGTACTTTAATCATTAATATTTCTGTTTCAATTTATTTCCTATTATTTTTAATTTAAAATATTTTATTTTAATTTTCTTTATTTATATTTGTATTATTTTATTTTGGGAAAAAAAATTATTTTTGGTCTCAATATAAGCAAAATTAATCAATTTTGGTCCCAATATAAAAAATTTATTAATTTTGGTCTCAATATAATCAAAACTCATCATTTTTTATCAAAATATAAATTTTTTATCAATTTTAGTCCAAATATAACCAAAACTCATCATTTTTTGTCCAAATATAATCAAACCTTATACTTTTTTGGTCCCACCGTCAACAAACCGATGGAAAATGCTGCAAAATTGTGCAATTTCTTCAAATATAAATATAAGGTTTGATTTCTTTTCACGTTAATATTTTTTGTCGGTTTGTTGACAGTGTGAGACAAAAAAAAGATAAGGTTTGATTATATTGGGACAAAAAAGTTTTGGTTATATTGAGATAAAAATTGATAAAAATTTTATATTTGACCAAAAATGATGAGTTTTGTTTATATTGAGATTAAAATTGATAAAATTTTTATATTTGAACCAAAATTGATAAATTTTAGTTATATTGATACCAAAAATAATTTTTTTTTCCTTTTATTTTATGTATACAATTTATAAAACATTTTAAACAAAAAAGTAAAGACAACGGATAGAAAAAAATATCAAAATCACAACATCCGGAAAATCATGTAGCTGATGTATTGTAAAATTATAATCGGCACATAGACAAATAAATGTTATGTTTAAATAGAAATTTTAAAAATTAAAAAAATAATAATAAAAATAATTATTTAAGATGATAATTTTATAATAGAAAAAACATATTGATGTAATGTGTTGATAATTAGTGACAAATTTTAAAAATATCTATAGAAATAGGGTCAAATACAAAACTATTTAGCATACTCTATTAATACAGTAATATTTTCATATACAAACATAAACTAATAAAAAATTTTAAATTAAGAGTATTTTTATATTAACAAAATATATATTTTTAGTTTGTCTAATTACAATAATTATTTTTAGTAACTATAAACTTCATTTTTTTATAGAAATAATCTTACTTTACTATCGTATTATTACTTTTATATAAAACAAAAAAATATATATATATTTTTTATATTTTGCACAAAAATAAATTTATACTTTCAAAATAAATGAAAAAATATATTTTTTATACATATAAATATTATATTAAAAAAATGCAATATTCCAAAATCACCAAGATGATAATTTCAAAATCAGCACGAAATCAGCCTCAAAATATATATATATATATATATATTAAAGAATAATACTTATTTATTTCCAAGATATAAAAAAATTCAAAAATGTACAAAAATGGTTACCCCATATACAAACATACCAACAACCATTTCTTCTCTTAAAACCTCTTTGCCCCATCCCGGGCAGGGCCCGGTCAGGTCCGGGCCGGGCTCTATCCGTCGAGCGGGTTGGTTCGGGCAAGCGACCGCGCCGTGAACCCGACGGTGGTCGGCCTAATCGACCGTTGCCGGACCATGTTGCAATATTCGGGGTCCTCCGATTGCCCCTTATGCCGCATCCATTGTATCGTCTCGTGGTACGTCGGGAAGAACCTCATCTGCACCGCGTTGTAAACGAAATATGGCACGAGCGCCGCGACGACGACGAAGAGCGTCACAACGTAGAACGACGGGGTCGGTGCGAGCGACTCGACGAACACCTTGTACGCTGTCGTCGAGTGTCTCGACGGGATCGCCCCGTAGGCGAGGAGGAAAACGTACCAAAGCGCGATGCTACCCCAAATGAAGACGTGTTGGATCAACGTGAAATAGGCGATGGCGACGGCGAGTTGGCAATTTACGACCCACACGACGCACGTGTACAACGTCGCCCCAAGGATTTGGTAGTCGGCGACCCTCCCGTCGCTATCGAATCCTTGCGGGTTTAGCGCGCGAATGCAGAAGAAGAAGACTATCGCGGCGCTACCCACGCCGTTGAGCATCCACCCGATGATCCGTCGCCAGCTAAAGAGGATGTTTTGTACCCCTTCTTGATATAGCATCGGAAACTGCAACAGAAAAACGAAATTAATCGAGGTTTCTTGATATAGCATCAGAAATTGCAATGAAAAAACGAAATTAACCGAGATTTTTTTATATAGTATCAAAAATTGCAAGAGAAAAACGAAATTAATTGAAGGTTCTTGATATAGCATCACAAACTGTAACAACAAAACGAAATAAATCGAGATTTTCTCATACGATCGATGAAGTTTTTATCTTATTTAATCGATAAAAGACGTACCTTTAGACAATATCTAGCGGATACGTCTTGGTCGAAGACTCCGAGGGCGAGGACGGGGAGCGAAGTGAAGAACACGTTGTATAGCGATAGAAACCACTCGTTGTACGCCGGTTGCCCCGAGAACGAAGCATAAGCTTCGTAGAAGAAGATCGTAAATCCGAAGGCGAGATTCTTGTAGAAGAAGTAGCAAATCTACCAGGATAAAAACGACGACGATAAGTTAAAAACGACGCCCCGAGAAACTTGTCTACGATATAAACATTTACGACGAGACTTCGAGCTATCGACGGAAAACTTACCATCGTCGAGATCCGGCTATAACACCAATGCCCGTGCACCAAAAGCAATCGCTCGAGGAACCGGAATTGAGCGATCGCGACGTCGCTCGACATTACCGCTTGCATTCCTTCGACACCGCTAATCCCGACGCCGATATCGGCTTCTTGCAACATTCCTACGTCGTTCGCACCGTCACCGATCGCCAAAGTTGTTTTCTTCGTTCCTTCTTTCACGAGCCTCGTCACCAACGCCTTTTGCTTAGGCGACGATCGACAACAAATCACCGACGCGCAGCCGACCGCCAGCTCGAGAAACAAGCTCTTGACGTCGTCTTCTAACGCGTAGGCAAGCGATTTCCCGTCGATGATCAACGCAAACGCATCGACGCTTAATTTCGAAACCTGAGCCTTCCCATTGTTCAGCTGCCGAAGAACACTCTCCTTCGAAGCCTGACGAACAATACGACGAAATTAATCCCGTTAGCTCAGATCTTCCCGCGTAACGATTTGTAAGAACACGAAATCGAGCTGTTTACCTTCGCAATTGCGCGTTTGTCGTTTTCTTTCTCGAGCGCTTTGATCTCCGGATGATCCAACGTTATCGTAATCTGCTTCATCCCTTGTCGTAACAAGCTGCAAGCGTACCTGCAAGAAATCAATTCTCGTCGTTAATTACGAACGATCGAAAAAAACGACGAAACGAGAGACGAGAAGAATGTACATTCGTACCCTATGTTGATCGCGGTCTCCATCTTATCGCCCGTCAAAACCCAAATCTTGATGCCGGCTTGCGCCAATTTATCAATACACTCGGGAACCTGCTCGATGAAAATTCACCGACGTCAACGATAGTATTCGATACAATCGACGGATAAATCGTTATTCGGTAACTCACGTACCCCTTTTTGAAGCTTGTCTTCGACAGCGGTGGCGCCGAGCAAAATCAAGTCTTTCTCGACTAATTCCGCCGCATCGTCGATCAACGATTCCCGATCGGCGCTGACCGACGTTTTCGCCTCCTGAAACTTCTCGTTAAACTCTTCGTACTCGTCTTCATTAACCTCCCGATAGGCGAGTATCAACGTCCTCAAACCCGCATCGGCGTATGTGTCGACGTGTTCCTTCGTCTGTTCTTCGTAGTCGCATCCGTTCTTCGAAAGCCGTTCGAACATAACGCTGTAATAAGGCAGACGATAACGAATTTAACGATCGGTTAGAACGACGACTAAACGAAAGCATCGAAGATGAGTTCGAAGTATCACAAACCTGTCGGCGCCTTTGCAGAGCAGTAAGATCTTTCCGTCATCGTCCCTGACGATCACCGACATTCTCTTCCGCGTGCTGTTGAACTCGAGAACGTTTAAAAGCTTGTACGATCTGCATCGACGCAAACGATTTCGACGTTAGTAAAGAGCGACACAGCTTATAAGAAACGTTTACGGCGTTATATGCCGACCTTTCGATTCTTTTCCTGGTGACGGGGTCCAATTCGGTGATCGAAACGCTCGTCTGCGTCCTCTTGAAGAACTCAAACCCGATTTCCCGAGCGGCGATGACGAACGCTGCCTCGTCGGGGGATTCCGCTTCGTACGTAACGTTCCCCGTCTGTTCGTCGAAATCGGGTATCGCCGTGTGGCACACTGATAACAGTCGAAAGAATTTCTGAACGACGTCCGCGTCCGGCTCGTTAACCCAATTCCCGTTCATTATTCGCTCATCGTCAAAGTTGAAGCCTTTGATCGATGATTTCTTACCCAATTGCTCGTCGATCACGTCGTCTTTCCCGTTCAACGGCGACCCGTTCCGCTTCGCCATCGCCCGTTCCACCTCAGTGACGCCGTGCCCGCACGCCGTCCCCGCGATCGAGCACTTGATGAACTCCATCGAGTTCATCGTCAACGTCCCTGTCTTGTCCGAAAGTATCGTATCGACTTGTCCTAACTCCTCGTTCAAATTCGACGTCCGCGCATGCGCCGGCTTATCCGTCTCCTCGTAGTACATATCGACGTCGCGATTAATGAAAAGACTCTGAAGTATCTTAACGATCTCGATCGAGACATACAACGAGATCGGGATAACGTTCCCGTAGAGCAACAGCGCCGTCAAGAAATGATAGATCGCCGCCGCTGCCGCCCGATGCGGGTCGAAGAAAATCTCGGCGCTCTCGGGTTTGAGGTACCACCGTCGATCCCCGTCGTACAAATCCTTCCTCGTCACGACCCCGAAGTAAATCGACCCGACGAGCGCCATCGCGAAGAGCACGGCGAAAAGGAAGTAGATGATCTTGTCCATTTTTTTCTCGACGTTGCTCCGTTTCGACGGCGGATCCGTCGAGTTTTGAATCACCTTCGTGTCGTGCCCGGTGAAAATCACAGCGCCGTAGACGTGTTCCGTGTTCCGGAGCTTCGAGTCGCGGAGGAGCAATTGTTGCGGCGAGAGCGGGAATTGCTCGCCGCGGAACTCCATGGTGCCGACGAACGAGTACAAGTTTGCGTTCGGGTCTTCGCACTTGACCGTCGCGCGGAATTCCTCGACGTCGCGCGGCTCGCTTATGTACGAGGTTGTCTCCAAGGCTTGCTTGAGCTTGAGATTCGTCTCGCCGTCGAGGTTCATTGTCTCGACGTAGCAAACGGCATCCTCGTAGCTCGACGAGAGAAGTACGAGGTCCGCCGGGAAGAACTCGTCTTTCTTGACCTTTACGACGTCGCCAACTTTGAGGTTCTTCCAATCGGCGGCGGAGAAAGCGCCACCGCCGGCGTGAACGTCGACTTTCCGGTTGTTCACCTCAATGTCCTAACACAAACACAAAGGTTGAGGTAAGTTATATAAAATTAATGAAATCAAATAAATACTTATTTTTTATTTTTTTATATTATAGTAAAAAAATAATTTTACATTAATAACATTAAGTTAACACCTATTTATATTATCTTATAAAAATATTACAATTCAAAATTTTTTCTATTCAAATTAAAATTTAAAATCCAAAACCCCAAACAAACACACCTTAAAAGAATACACTCTAATAAGTAAATCATTATTTATTGATTGATTGATTTTTTCATATTACAATTAAGTTTAAAGTAAATAAAAATGGTTATATTTAAGTATTTATTTTTAACTCAATTTTTTAGGCTTTATTATATTAAATTTTACTACTCCCTTCGTTTCATTGAAAGGTTACCATTTTTCATTTTTGTCCATCCCAAAACAAGGGTATCATTTTCTAATTTAGTAATTGTACTACTACTTAACATAATAAATACTTTTTCAACTTACAATATATTACACAAATGTCATTATTTTTATATTACACAATACTAATAGAGGTATTTTTATCTTTTTTATTACAATACAATATAATACTAATATTTAAAAATGTAATTGTAAAATACAAACGCCACCCTTCGAACGGACGGAGGGAGTATTTTGTTTTTGTAAGGTACAATTTAATAGTTACCAATTAAAAAACATATAAATAACAAAAAATCAAAACATTTGACAAACAAAAAGATTGTTTTGTTTTCAAAATATTTCAAAAAACCACAATAACAATTTGGATTTAACTAATAGTGGAATGTGATATATTGCAAAATATATATACACAAATTACTTGTATTGCAGCTGAGGCTAATGTCAAAAAAAAAAATTTTTTGTTAAAAAATAAATAAATATTATATATATATATATATATATATAAAATGAGATGCTTCCAGATATTCCCCTAAGCAATTAAAGAAAATGATATTTAATAGTAACAATTAATAACAATGGTAATAAATAAATAGATATTAATTAATAGTAGCATTCACCTAACAAAATTTGATTAATACAATTCTCAATTAATACCACAAAGATACTCTAGAAGATATATATATATATATATATATTAATATAATATATAATATTATTAATTTAAAAAAAGAAATTCAATAATGTTATATAAAACATATATTTTTTATATTAATGACATATTTTTTCAAACCCTGTACATATACATATATATTACTTGAAATTAAATATTAAAAAAGCACATAATTTTATTTTTAAAATATATGGCAACAGCAAATGTTAATTTTCTTTTTTAAAAAAAAAATAAGTAAAAAGATGGTAAAGCAAACAAAATGCAAGATAATTACTCCTTCAATTACATATATTTTGGTCTATTAATGTAGATACAATAATTTTAGATAAAATATTTCGCCTTTGAAGATCATATTTAGTTTTTGCGTGATTGTATTTAATATTAAAAATATTTTTATATTTGTATAATTTTTTTTACAAATATCTTTCTATTAGTATTATAAGATAGTAATTTTGCAATTTTTTCTTAATTTATACTACGTTTTGATATAATAATTAATATTTAAATATCAACACTTAAAAATAAATGGAGTCTTAGAACTAGACAGATGTAGTATTATTTAGTAAAATTAATTATAAATTAAAATTAAGATAATTAAATAGGTTAATTAAAATTATTTAGAGTATATAATCATGTTTAAAAAAAAATTATATGAAACTAATAAAAAAAAAAAACGAAATTATATGAGTATAAGTGATGATAAATTTAATAAATAAATAAATAAATAATAATAAATATATATATATATATATATTTAATTTTACCTGCTGTTTCCTCTGCCAATCTTCAATGGCTTCTTTAACCATAGTAACTCCAATCACAAAAACCAAAGGAATAATCGCACTGGAGGCCGAATAGGGGGCCAAAGCCGTGAAAGACATAATCCCCGTCACCAGAAAATAGAAATTCGCCACTCGCCGGAACTGTTCGAACAGCGACTTCGGCAGGAACGTCGCCGCCGTGTACTTGGTCGTCCGTACGTAATTACTCCCGCCTGAGATTCCATCGCCGGCGGGCTCATTACAGTACACGATTCTCGAAAAGCCCGGCCCGCCAATCTGCGAATGATCCTCTTTGAACCGTCCTCGGCATTTATTGAACGAATAGATCTTGCTCAAATGGATCTTCCTTTTCCCCCTCATTATTTATTTATTTCCAAGAAAATCAAGATCCTTAATTTACTCGAAAAGGGCTTTTTTTTTCTTAAAAAAAGAAGATTGGGTTTTTGAGGTTGGGATAATTAGAACGAATGAAAGAATTTTGGGAGAGGATTGGGAAGTGGGTTTGTTGTATTGTATATGTAATGGAGTGTAGAGGGAGAATAAGGGTTTTCTAGAGTGAGAGAGGGGTTGAATATTGACTTGGATCTGATGGCTTGACTTTCATTACCCTTCAGTTTGGACACGCGCATTCGATTCAAAGAACTTGTCAAACACTTATTACAAACCTCTTCTCGATCGAATTTCAAGATTAGGGTTTTTTGTAAGAAAAATTAAATTGGGAAATTTGGTGGGGTTTAATTTTTCTAATTGTTTTGGTCGAATTCACATGGGTAGAATCTTCGGACGGGGAAATGGCGTCGTTTTGGGGAAGGGAAGGTCGTTGTGAGCTTCGTTTTGGGCACTCTCTTTTTAATTTTCCTCAAAAGAAGCTTCGTAGGAGGAAAAGACAAGACACTGTAAAAACCCTTAATTTTGTGAGATATTTCTCGTTTTAACTGTACTGTAATGAAATTAGGTTGGAGAAGATGAGTTTTGGGCGGGGCCCCGGGATTTGAGGTCCATTAGGAGTAGGCCCGTGCTGCACGTTTTTGTTGGAGCTGGACACCATGGTGCGCGGATTCTTAGTTGAGAAGGAGGGGATATAACGACGTCGTTTAAGTCAAGTTCTTTGACCGGATTATTATTATATGATTCGTTGATTACCAATACTTGTCTTTATTGACTTTATAATTTTATTATTATTATTATTAATTTATTATTTTTTTAATTTGGTTTTTGAATATAGAATTTTTTTTTGAATTTTAATAGTAAAGTTTGTTTAGTTACTGTTTTTAGAGAAATAATTTTATATAAATTTTATTTTAAAATGTATATATACATTAATATTATACTCCCTCCTCCGTCTACACATAAAAAGTAAACAAATATTTTTGCCGCGGTATTTAAGAAATAATAGTATTTTAATTATAGTTAAAAATAGTGTAATGATATTTTTATCTTTACTTTTTGACGTAAAAGTAATGACGTGATGTAAAGTAAGGATATTTGTGAAAAAAAAGAGGTATTTAATGAAATGTTTACTTTGTAATTGTAATTGGAGCCAAAATAAAAATATGTACACTTTCTAGCTGGACGGAGGAAGTATATAATATATATTTTAATTATTTATAAAAATTAATAATTCAATTCAAAACAAATTTTTTTATATAATTAATAGTATAATTTTATAAATAGTATATTGATATTTTCTAATTTTTGGACATAAGATCTAAAAATATTTATATTATATAATTAATAAATAATGAAATAATGGTTAAAAATCATCCTTATCTTTATGAATGTGTATTATATTTAAATGTAAAACACAATGATATTTATATAATAATTATTAAAAATAATGATAATTTTATGATAATACGATTATTTATAATAATAGAACTATTGATTTGGAATAGTAAAAAAGATAGGAAAATGAGACTAATAATTTAAGATGGATGGAATAGTTGATTTGTGTTATATAAATAAATATTGATGTAAAATTTTGAATATAATTATACTCCCTTCGTTCCATTGAAATGTTACTATTTTTCATTTTTGTCCGTCCTAAAGTAAGGTTACCATTTCCTAATTTAGTAATTGTACTACCTATCTAACATAATAAATACTCTTCCAACTTACATTATATTACACAAATGTCATTACTTTTATATTACACAATACTAATATGAGTATTTTTGTCATTTTCACTGCAACCTATTATAATACTAATATTCAAAAATCTACGTACAAAAAGTAAACGACAATCTTGCACCGGGACGGAGGGAGTATTTTATTTCAAAATACTTTTTTTGAAATTTTACAATAGATTAAGCAATAATAGTATTTTATTAGTTAGTAGAATTGTATTAAAATTTTTGAAATTTTTGTGATTTTATTTAATTAATTGTACAGTATATTTGTAATTTAGATAAAATTTAGTGATATTTTTTATTTGTATATGATTACTTTTATTAAAAAAAAAAAAGATTTTTTAATAAGACAAAACAAATGATAAAAAAAAATTGAATTGATATATATAAAAAGTAATATTTTATATTGATAAAATAATATTATTGAAATTGTACTATATAAACGTTGTTAGATTATTACTATTAATTGTCTTTATTATATTAATTATGCAATTTCATTATAGTAAAGTTTATTTAATAGGTAATTGATTTAATTAATTAAGTAACCATATTTGTAATTATTAATGTTGTGATAGCTGCGCGTGTGACCGACGCGTCGCGTCGGGTCGTGGACTGCTGAACGCATAGTTGGTCCATTTCAATGAACTGTAATTAATTACTATTATTATTATAATAATTAATTTTTATTTTTATTTTTTATTTTTTTATTGTAAAAGTCATTATCAATTTTAAGCATAGGGTGTGTTTGTTTGGGAGATTGGGTTGGATTTACATTATTCATCTAATTTTATTTTTTTTCCAAAAAATATCAAATTAAACACCTATTTTTTATTTTTTATATTATATTAAAAATCAATTTTACATTCAAAACAGCACATCAACACCTATTAGATCACATCATACAATTATTCAAATTCAAAATTTTTACTATTCAAATCCCAACTCAAAATCCAAACCCCTAAACAAACACACCCTTTAAAATAAACCTCATTCCCTTATTTCATTTTTTTTTCTCACTCAAATAAATATATTTTTATTTTATAAAATTTACTAAATTAAAATATATTTAATAAATATAAATTAATTTAATTAACTTTATAATATATATTTTACATTATATAAGATATACTCATAACATTTTTATTTTTATTTCGATAAACAAATATTGTAATCTATATTTTTAAAAAAAATTCTTTTTTTTTTAAATAAAATTATTTTATATTAATTATAAATAGAAAAAAAACTTATATTTTTTATTTATTGTATTATTTAAAAAAAATTTCTCTACAAACTAATATTATATTGCATACTATAATTTATTAACAAAATATAATATTCAAAATATTCAAAACAAATATTCTAAATTTATTTTAATTTTTATTATTATTATTATTTATATAAATAGTATTGTTGTAAATAATAATAATAATAAAATAATATTTTAAATTTAATATTATTAACTAATTAAATTTTATAATCTTAACTGAGTCACTGATTAAAAGAATCATTTCAATCATGACGGAAGAAGTGTAATTTTAATATTCCATTTTTTACTTTGATACAAAAATCTATAATATTTTAATTTTAAAATATATATATATAAAAATGAAAATTATATTTTAAAATAATGTTTATCAATTATAATTTTTCATTACTAAAATCTATATTATTTTAATTTTAAAAATATATATATAAAAATGAAAATTATACTACTTCCTATCAATTATATTTTAAAATAATGTTTATCAATTATAATTTTTCATTACTATTTTTTTTTTTAAATAAAATTTGTGGATATATAACTGTGGATGCTCTAGTATTGATAAGATATCATTTACAATAATACTCACATCACATGAAATACAATTCAATATATAAAGTACAAATAAACAATATGTGATATAAATAAATATAATATATAATTTGATAATATACGACAATAATTAAAATAATACATATTATAATTAAACTAAATACCTAAAGTATATAAAAATAAAGGGAAAATTGTTTTTTTTTTAATTTCGTAACTGGACTCTCTTGTGATTTTAGTCTCGTAAGTGGAGCATGTCGCAAATTAATCCCATAAGTTAAAATTTTTCGTTGTTTTAGTCCTCCGGCGCCGGAGACGCCTGCTTGGTTTGGCTCGCCGAAAGCCACGTGTTCGCCAGGTGTCCCGCCAGGTCAGCAACATATGGCGGACGCGTGGATTTATTTTTTTAATTTTTTAATTGGACCAAATAAAAATATTAAAAAAAAAAGTAAACTGCTTTTTTAGTCCTGTAACTGGACCCCCTTATTATTTTAGTCCCCTAAGTGGAGGTTGTCGCAAACTAGTCCCATAAGTGAAAAATTTTCGTTGTTTTAGTCATCCGGTGCCGGAGACGCCCGCGTGGCTCACCGGAGGTGACGTGTCCGCCAGGTGTCCCGCCAGATCAGCGACACCTGGCGGACACGTGGATTTATTATTATTTTTTCAATTTTTTTAATTTTTTTAATTGGACCAAATAAAAAAATAAAAAATACAAATAAAATTAAAAATAAATTAAAATAAGTTTTAAAAAAATATAAAAAAAAATCCACGGCCAGGTATCGCTGACCTGGCGGACACGTCACCTCCGGCGAGCCACACGGGCGTCTTTTGCGCTAGAGGACTAAAATAGCGAAAACTTTTCACTTATGAGACTGGTTTGCGGTAGGCTTTACTTACAGGACTAAAATGATAAGAGGGTCCAGTTATGGGACTAAAAAAAAAACAGTTTACCCTAAAAAAAACAAAGAAAATTAAAAAAAAAATTTACGTGTCCGCCAAGTGTCGCTGACCTGGCAGACAAGTGGCCTCCGGCGAGCCACGTGGGCGTCTCCGGCGCTGCAGGACTAAAACAACGAAAAATTTCAACTTATGACACTAATTTGCGACAGGCTCCATTTACGGGACTAAAATGATAAGCGAGTCAAATTATGGAACTAAAAAAACAGTTTGCCCAAAAATAAAACATACTTCTAAAAAATAAATTGACACTATTATAAGAATCTACACAGTACATGCTATATTAATTCAAATCATGCTGAATAATCTATATTTTAGATGTTAGTACTATACTAATTAATTTAAATCACTACTAAAATCAAATTGATACTCCCTCCGTCCCATAAATATGATCTTAATTGGATTGGACACGAAATTTAAAAGATATTAATATTATATTGATAGTCGGTAAAATATATGGATAAAAAACTTTTTTACTCTTGTGAGTGTATTAGTGTAAAAAGTAGTGACAATTATATAATAAAAATGAAAAAATAGAAGTAGTTTTATGGTGATATGATTATTTATGAAAATAAGATTATTGTTTTGAGAATGAACAAAAATGGTAAATAAGTATCAGAACGGAGAGAATATAACAGTAGTACATAACAAGATCATTAGAATAATTAGTTAAAATCATTTTTAACGAATTATTTAATGAACTCAAAGCGTGGACCTAAGTAATAATAATAATAATAATAATAATTGATCGGAGGTTAGCTTCTAGAAGAAATATAAAAGTATTTATAAAAAAAATAAAAATTGTGAGAATATTATATTGCAAAATCCTCGCACATCCAAATTTAATGTGTGTAATAATAATAATAATAATAATAATAATAA